GTACTATAAGAGTCACTTGACGTATTGAAGTTGCTGAGAAATCTCTGAAGACTGCCCTATTCATCTGTTTTTAGGTTCATGAAAAGCCACAGATTGTTTCTGAAACCCCAGGAACTATCGATGTTGTCAAAGGGCTAACACTTGAAATCCCTTGCAAAGCCAAAGGAACTCCAGAACCAGAGAGGATATGGAAGAAAGACGGTATCCAGGTATGAATGTTGTTGATAATGTTTTCCTATCATTTTATTCCTATCTTCCTTCAGATTGGTGGTCGAGAGACAGATGCAATCAATGTAGATTCAGCAGGAACGCTTCGAATTCTGAACACACAGGTATATCCTTTGCTTTTCTTATGTACTTCAATAATTTGACGGCAAGTCTTAGACTGGTCATGGCGGGCAGTATACTTGTGAAGTCAGCAATGCAGTTGGTTCTGACAGTCGCATAACTACGGTTGTTGTACAAGGTTTCGTCTGAATTACCATTTACAATTTCATCTTTAATTTGCTTAAATTTTATTTTAATATTGTAGAACCCCCGATAATCCTGCCGGCCACCATAACCAATTACACCTCCGTTGAGGGTGATCTAGTATGTTCCTAAGATAGCATTGATGTCTTCTTAAACAGTTTCTTGAATCTGCGGCTTTAGGTTGAGATCCGCTGTCATGTCGAAGCTAATCCACCCGCAGAAATTCAATGGTCCAGACGCGGTGTACCAGTAACGGAGTCTACACCTGGTGTATCCGTGAATGGTAAAGAATTGAGCAAGTGTGTGAGTGTTGTTTATGGTTCTTATTTTAGGAGGAACTCTAATTATACAGTCAGTTACCAAGGAAGATGCTGCTTTTTACACTTGTAAAGCTTCAAATCCAGCTGGCAAAACAGAAAAAGTGATTCGCCTCAGCGTAATTGGTAGGGATTTCCTCTATTTTGCAGTAATACCAAGTCACCAGCGATTTCTTCCAGTACCACCCGACATTCCGGATCAGGACACGATTGTTCTTGAATCAGTTAAAATCCACCAGCCATTTAGCCTATACTGTCCAGTGTTCAGCACACCACTTCCAACGGTTTACAATTTTTTAAACAACTTTATTTTAATCAGTGAAAGTTATCTTTTTTCTCTTCAGATCACTTGGTACCTTGATGATACAGTCATGTCAGATGGTGACCCAAATGTGTTAATGTCTGAAGATAAGCGAAGACTTCACGTCATTAAGGTTCGTTTGCCTCTTAACTCAGGAGCGTTGTTATTAAATTGAAAATCGATATTTGATATTTTTATTTCTACATCTATACTGATCTTTTA